ATTTATGACAAGAACAATGGAAAGAATGTTGGAGGTTTGAAGATATACTAGAGTTATTTTACAGAGTGGGGAGTGCCAACATTCTGGGCATTGCTCAGACACCAAGATTTGTGGTTATAACAACTATAAAAAGGATCACAATTAGGAGGTCCTGGAGAGAAACAAAACTCAAAATCATAAAAAAATAAAAATAAATCAGTCTTACTGGTCAGATGGAAACTGGTGGAAGCCCCCAAGACTATGACCCTTGGTCACTCTTCAGGTCTAGAACTGAATTCACACTAGTGAAGCAATAGATATTTAGGGGGGACACAATAGCACTACTGATTTATGCACACCGTAGAATGATCAATCATGCAAGATCAAATGGGCAGCATTTACCTATAGACAACGTTCAGAAGGTTGTATTAAAGAAGGAAATGGTAACACAGGGAGGAAGTGGGATAAATGATTTTATACGGAGGGGATTGCAAGAGAAATGAAGTATATGATTTGTTGAATATAAAACATGACCTGCTCTGTAAATATTCACTCAATTCACAGTTGTTGTTAAGTGCTGTGGAGTCAGTTCTGAATAGTAACCTGTATAAGGTTTCTAAAGAGCAACTGTTGAGTTTGAACTGCTGACCTTGATTCAAACCAACCTTGTGGTCCAGTGATTATTCTACAGTGCCATACCAGGACTCCCAATTCACAATTGAAAGTGAAGATTTATGGTCATAAATTTATAGTTAAGACCAATTGAAAAAACTAGGCATAGGCCAAATGGTACGGAGTCTTGTAAATCATGGCTTGGATTTGGTTCCAAAAGGTAACAAAAAGTTATTGGAGGGTTTTAAGTGGAGAACTGATATGATCTGACACATTTTAGCAATATCTCTTGCTACTACATGGGAGATGGATTATCCAGGGAAAAAAGTAGCACATGTCAAGTAGGAAGCTGTTGCAATTCAGGCAGGAGGACATGGAGTCCTTCCTGGTGTGGTGTTGCAGGCTAATGTGCTGGGCTGTAGGTCGGTTTGAACCTCAAGGTTGGCATTTCAAGCTCACCAGCTGCTCCTAGGAAACCCTATACAGGTTCACTATGAGTTGGAACTGACTCAGTTGGACTTGACTCAGTCAAGTGCTGATCCTACAGTGTCACACCAGGAGTCCATCCTCGTATATGTAGGTAATGGTAAACACCATTGTAAAATTAGTCAAAATTAGGTAGTTGTATTTTTTTTCCCTTCACTTGAAATTATATTAATGCTTCAGGGCATATTGTTAGTATCTTATAAAGAATCTATCATGGAACTCAATCAGTAAATGATCTATGTATGTACTGGATGAAGTTCAGTCACTGCCACTGACCCTAACCAACCCATTGCCACCAAGTTGATTCTGGCTCATGAACCCAGTGCCATAGAGTCAATTCCAATTCATAGTGACCCTGCGTAGTGTTTCTGAGTCTATACATTTGTATGGGAGGAGAAAGCCTCATTTTTCTTCCACTGAGGGGCTGGTGGACTGACAACCTTGTGGTTAGCAGTCTAGTCTTTAGCCTATGGCACTGATAGAGTTTCAAGAATGTAAAATGTTTCCAGAGCAGAGAGGCATCTTTCTCCCATGAAGTGGCTGGTAGATTTACGTTATCAACCTTACAGTTAGCAGCCCAATGCCTAACCCACAGTGCCACCAGGGATCCTTTGCTACTGACCCATAAAGGAGAAAATAGAGACTATAAAACATACAGGGGAAACATGCCTATAACTTTAAGATAATTTGTAAAATAATTCTATTACTTTACTTTTTTTAAATGTTAAGATTGTGTGACTTTTGGTTTTTTTGTAGGGAGGGTTTTTGTACAACTATGTAAAAACAAAATTTGGTAGAATGTGTAAGAAAATCTGTAAAACAAACAAAAAAACCTCCCATACTTAAAAAGGAAACAGGCAATTCCCATGAGGACTAACCTTGGAAATTTCCAATCCACCACGTTTGGGCCTATGCTGTTGTTAAGTGCTGTCGAGTTCCGACCCACAGCAACCCTATATAGGGATTCTTAGGGAAAACTGGAGAGCTTGAATTACCATCCTTGAGATTCAAACATTAACGGTCAGCATCACACCAGGACTCACGTCTGGTTCTTATAACGCCAATAAAACTGTGACATACATACAGATCCACCAGGAAAGTCATCTGGGCCTTTGAACCTTTAAAGTCATTTAAAGTTTTCTAGTACCCACATTTTATTTAAGTTTTTATTGTGAGTTGAGTTAAAGTTTACATGGGAGGACATCAGTTTTACACTCATTGTTTCATTGCAAAGATTACAATGTCCTCCATGCATCATCACTCAACAGTATTTGCTTCTATTCCCTCTGCTTTTGGGGGGATGGGGATGTACACAATAAGAATATATAATCATTTAAACAATGATTATATATGTTGTTGTTAAGTGCCGTCAAGTCGGTTCCGACCCATAGCGACCCTGAACAGACTTTCCGAGACTGTAAATCTTTACGGGAGCAGAAAGCCTCATCTTTCTCCCATGGAACAGCTGGTAGTTTCCAACTGATGACCCTAAGGTTCGCAGCCTGATTCGTAACCACTACGCTACCAGAGCTCCTTTTATATATAATATATACATTATGTATTATATAATATATACAATATATTATATAATATGTATATAGGAATATATAATCATTTAAACAACCAAAGGGCACATTCTATAAGCCTAGCAGGCTAATTTTTAAGTTGATCATTTTGTATGGCTTGTGAATGATGTTATAAATTTTGGCAGAAAAAAGGTTTCCCACCTCTGCCTTAAATAGTGCACCGGGCACTCATTTATCACTGTGGCTTTGCTCTTGTATTAATTCATCCAACAAGTATTTATTGAATACCTCTTCTTTTTCAGTCCCTGACCTCAGCCCAGTGGATACAGGGGTACAGTACTGATAAACTTCCCATTGCAGGTAGATTGTGGGGGAGCCTAAGAGGCTGAGTTGCTGGTCAGTATTTTAAGAACCCCTTAGCACCAAAAAAAAAAAAAAGAACCCCTTAGCACCTAGTAGATGCTACTGTCTGTTTGATGAAGGTGAGGTATAAGCGAGAGGAGGCAAGTCTACCTGCAAGCAGGGGTAGATTGGGTAATAAGACTGGCCCACCCGCGCCCACTTGTCAATCTGTAGTGAACAATCCCACACTGGTTATAGTGGGAAAACATGTGAAACTGTTTACTACAGACCAGCAGGCAAGCACATGCAAGTCAGTGCTTTCCCTGCCTACTGTCTAGTGCCCACATTTTAAAAAAATAGACAGATGAAATTTTGATATTTAACCACTATATCCAAAATAAGTACATTATAAATGACACATTTTACTTCATTTTACAAGAGTAAAGATTTGAAATACTTGTTTTATAATTTTTTTTCCAGAAATATATCCAATTTTTACCTAATTTAAAAATAACTATGATAATCATTGGGGATTTGCTGTTAAATGCTGTCCAGTCGGTTCCGACCCATAGCAACCCTGTACTGGGCTTCCAAGGAGCAGTTGGTGAGCTTGAACCGCCAACCTTATAGTTCAAAGGGCTTTGCAGTCTAGCATATTAACCCACAGCACCACACCAGGACTCCAGCACTGGGGATAATTGACTTATAGTCTACTGTTGTATAACCCAGTAATTATTCGTTAATTTCCAGTTAGCTTTTCAGGAGTCTGTTGTTTTGTGGACTATGAGCAATTCTGTGGCTGTACACAAACAGGCTCTCAAATGTTTCATTCAGAGAATTCTTGTATTGAGATTTCATATTAATGAACTTTGATAAGAACGATCTGTCAAAAAAGTATACAATGCTTTCAGAAGACAACCTACCTACTCCATACATTGAAAAATAAACCAATTCACATGGGCATACTGGTATCTTTGCTTACCTCTAGCTACTATCTTCTCCCTACTCCTTTATACACAGGCGCACTGAACTTCTTCCCTAACAACAAACAATCTTGTCTTCGAACTTTATTTTGGAATAACATTTGTTATTCCTCTACCTAGACATTCTTTGTTGGCAACAACAATTCTTAGATGTCATCTCCGGAAAGCCTTCCCAGACTCCCTCACGTGCTTCTACAACGCCTGTTACTCTACTCTCCTAAGGCACTTTCTTCACACTGTATTTGTCTGTCTTCTTCAACAGACCGTGTACTTTGGGAAGGCATGATCCGTGTTTGCGTTGTTCATTGTTGTATCCCTAGTACCTAGTATGGTCCTTAACACATTGTTCATTTTCAATAAATATTTCTTGATAGAACGGTGACACTGGCCCGGAGTATTAATCAAAAGGTAATGCTCTTCCAACACTAAGCTTGGTATTCTAATATTCCAGTAGGTTTACTATGACACTGGACGCTGGGAATTGATTCATATTCAGTCCGTGAAACATATCATCCACTGACCTAGGCCTGCAGGAGGAAGCCTAGTTGTCTGAATGATCCCAATTTTCAGCCCGCAGAACCACCGCCGACAAAGCGTGGAGCCGAAAGGCGTGGATTTGTATGACAGATCCAGAGGCAACTGCTATGCACGCTAAGCAGCGAGCTGTAAAAATATCCTCCCAGGCCACCGAGAACCCAGGAAAAGAGAACTGCTCGCTTTCCCCACGCCTAGCCAGTCTACCTCCTCTAGCGCGCCAAGCCGTTAGTCCCGCCCAGTTCCACTCTGGCTCCACCCATTTGGCGTGCCCCAAGTTACTAATCCGTCGCCGCCAGGGCGCGCGCGTTCTAAGCCCCGCCTCAAAGGCCAGGGCGCGCTCCACCTCCCTGCTCTATCTAAGCAGTTCCGTTAGCAGCGGGAGGAAAAACCGTCCTTTGCGTCCCCGCCTCTCCACTCCTAACGCTTTACTCCCTACTCCCCTTGCGACCACTACACAGCTACGGAGGCCTCTAAAGCACAAATACTCCTCAGACCCTCCCGTACTCTTATAGGTTTTGTTCTTGCTGTTCCCTCTAGTCCTAAAGCCCTGTTTTCAGTTTTTGTTAGAAATTCACCCACGCGAATTTCTTTCGGCGTCAGGAACGCTAACGCTCTTCACGGAAACGAAAGCTGTTTTTGTTGGTGGTGGGGTTTTTTTGTTTTGTTTTGTGCCGCTGTGGCGGCCCGCATTCCTTCCCTCCCACCTCGCGGAATTGTGGCGGGAGGGGGAGGAGGAAGTTAAAGCGCCTGCGCAGAGAGGCTGCTTTCCATCCGGGTCCCTGTCCGTGCGGTGCAGCAGGTCGGTAGGCGGGAAATGGCGACTGGCTGAAGGAGCTGGTTCTGTTGCTGCTGCGGGCTAAGCTGGAAAGACACCACACATTGCGCAGTCGGGACCTACACCGGAGCTTGTGGACACTTCTCTGTCGTCACAATTAGGTAATCCCCCTCGTCCAGACACTGCCGCTGCTCCCAACCTCAGTCCTCCTCCTCTTCAGGGCCCTCTGCCGGGATCTCCTCCCCTTCTCAACCGGGTCCTCCAGCGGCTCTGGCGCTTTGGTAGGCATGCACTAGTGGCGCCTCGTATGTCCACTATGTGGACCCGCTCTTCTCTGGATTTTCCCCTGGGAACAGAAGGGGAGCTCACTTCCCGCCAGCTTTAGCTCTCAGGCTGCGGCCTGTGTTGTGATTTCTGGGGTTAGATTTCACTTTGCTACCCACCCCCACCCCTGATCGCACGTTCCTAGTCTCTAATCCTGTGATGCCTCCGGATAATTGGGTTCGAAGATCAGCTTTTCTAACTATGGTGGTCCAACTGATGTTTTGGGGGTTTTCTTTCTTTCTATTTGGATGCTTTTAGGGGGCGGTGCTTTTTGTATCTGTTTTTATAAGCACCTTTTGAGGCTATGAAAGAAGGAATTTTGTTGAGTTATGTTTATCTTCTGGACTGTTGAAATGTAGAGTTGACATTGTTAGTTTTTCGAGTCAAGAGTAGTAGTAAAGAACGTGTGGAAGGTCTCTTTGGCTTTAATAGTGGTTAGTTAAGAGTAATCCTTACATCCTTAGTATTCACCCTACTTCTTTGCGTATTAACTGCCCGTGCTGATGTTCGCTTTTGCATTTTGACTAGAATTCCGTGGTAAATAATTACATAAGTAAATCGTGTTTATTTACTTTTCACCCTAGTGGTGGCTGGATGTGTGAATGATGTTAAGTACTTTAGAGTACCTTAGGGAAGTCTAAAGAGATACCGCTCGTAAACTGCTCTAGGATCCAGAAATGGAATGTGCTTAGTAGATGTTCCTCCAAGGCAGGAATTTATTTTTCTAAAGCTAATAAAGCATTACCAAGATTACTGCCCATCGTGGTTATACAAATTAGTGACTTTAAATGATAGATTTATCTGTGTAATTTTCAGATTGTAGATTGTTTATATGCTGTTATCCGCATTCTTTTCCAAGTTTTAAAATTCGTTTTGTAGTCCAGCTGTTCTCGTTATAAAAGCAAGAAAATGGCAAGTTAAAGTTAGCGTTTTCCTCATGGTTTTTCTTTACTTTCCAGACAGTCTTGTTTCTCAATTTTTTTTTTTTTTTAACTTTGGAGCTCTTAAATATTTTTTTTTCTTTCTACTGATCAAAAAGTGTGTGGTTCAAGTAAAACATCGGGTTTATATAATTCAAAACTTTCAGCTTTTCAGGTTTAATTTAGAGAACTTCACTATTAGGATGGTAATTAGGACAAAATTTCAGTAACAGATATACACAAACATCATCTTGTTCTCATTTGATAGACTTTGTCCAAGGTCATAAAGAAAGTCAAGGCAAAATGTAACTCTTATGGTGAAGCAATCTAAGTATGGGTTGAAAAAATGTAAAGCCTGTGATTGATGTGGTCCTTAACCTTTGTGGACTTGTAGATGGAAATTTCTAGTTGAAATTTAAAAAAAAATTTTTTTATAAGGGTTAGTATTTTACGTTATTTCCTTCTATTTATTGTCTCTTGGGTTATCATTTGAGTCAATAATGCTATACTTTTTAAACTGTTTAAGAAACTAAGAGTTGGGACTAAGAGTTTTGTTTTTCTCAAGTTCATCTAGCTGATCCCAGGTTGGTGATTTCTGGTCAAGAGATTTCTTCATATGATTATTATATAATAGAATCCTTCCAGTGTGGGTTAAAGAAATCTGGACCTGTTGTTCAGAAATGATGTACTAGACTATAGTCTTATAACTAGATAATTAGTTACAGATAGAGTAAAATGGTACTGGATTATCTCAATTTTAGGAGACTGTTTTGTATTAGTGAAATTATGAAATAGTTTGCCAGATTTTGAAATAAAGTAGTACCCAACTATATTTGGGAAGTCCCAATGTGGCTCTGTAGGATACTGCACTGTATGAAAAAGTCAGTTTGAACCACAAGATTGGAGGTTCAAACTCACCAGGCACTCCTTAGAAACCCTATGCAAGTCACTGAGTCAGGCTCTATACAGGCTCTCTGTAAGTCCAAACAACTCCACTGTACATTTTAACACCAAGGAGACTAAGGAGTTCTGGTGTGGCACTGTAGGATAAGCACTGGACCTCAAGGTTAGCTTGAACCACATGGTTGGTGGTTCAAACTCACCAGCTACTCCTGAAAACTCTATACAGGGTTACTTAACAACAATAATTACATTTTCTGTTTATCAACTTAATTGTAAAAACACAGTAGAAATGGCTCTTTTAAGTTACACCTATCAGATATGTTCAGAGGATCTCATACTGTGCCTTAAGTCATTTTTTGGTTAAATTAAAAGTTACCTGATCATTTTAGCTGGATTGACTGTAGGGCTTTTTTTGGGTTTTACTTTGAGGATGAGATTTAACAGATAGGGAATTTATATTAGAACCAGTTGCAGCTGTAGTTTCCACTTACTGACATTTACCATGGAGCATATGTTTAAGCCAGACACGTAATATACTGCTGGTTTAATGATAACATTAAATTCTAATTCAAATTGCATTAAATTATAATTGGACGTACCATACAAATAGGTAAACCAATTTTGGGGCTTAAGTTGAGAATCTCCAAAACCTAACTTTATTTGTAGCTCTCCTGGGTATTACAGATTTCTTTCTAAAATGTCCAAATTTGTATGAAACCATAGGTTAGAAATGGGTCAGAGTCCTGGTATGGCTTTGTAGGGTAAGCACTGGACCACAAGGCCTGTTCGAATTGCAAGGTTGATGGTTCCAATTCATGAGCTGTTTCTTGGAAACCCCGTAAAGGGTTGTTATGAATTGGAAATGACTTGATGGCACTTAAACCAATGGTGGTTATAATTGCACAACATGATGGATACAATTAGTGTCACTATTTATACATGTAAATAATGTTGAAGTATCAAATATTTTATATCTGTCACAATAAAAATTGCAAATTTTCTGGGAAAGTTTTTTGTTTAACTTCTTATAAATTTAGTGAAGCTTTATAGACAAGATCATCAGCTTTCCATTCAACAAATCATACACTTTGTTTCATCTCAATGTTTACAATACCCTTCATTTCACAACAGTTAACTCTCTTCTTCCTATGATTCCTATTTGCATTTCACCTACCTTCCTATCCCTTATCAACTTTGTCCTTAGGAAAAATGTTGCCCTTTGAATTTTGAATGACTGACCATTCCATGCTGAACATACCTTACTAAGTTGTTGTCCCCAGTTATAAATCTGCCTACTGATTAACTGAAAATTGGACCATGAGGATGAATTCCTTTCCAGACCTGAGGGTGGTGAAGGGCCGTAATCGCAGGTTCCTCTGGTCTCTTTCTGACTGTAAACCTGACCTTTTTTTTTCCCTTTCTGAAGAGAAACTTAAAAAAAAAAAAAATTTGTCTTATTGATAGCATTAGCAAATAAACTTGATGATACCACCACAAACTAGTGAGGGTTCGAAGCAATTTGAAATGTAGAAGCATTGCCTAAGAAGAAATACATGATGCGGGAAAAGTCAGAGTGAGAAACTTGGGATTTGAGGTCCTCTGGGAATCTGGAAGTAATGAGGGGTTAAATTTGAGTGTGGTTTTCCATGATGAATCATAACACATTAAGTATGTTTGTAGTCTTTTCTGTCCTGGTGCGGTGCTATGGTTGATGAACTGGACTGCAAAATAGGTTTGAACTGCAAGGTCTGCAGTTCAAACTCACCAGCCGCTCCTCAGAAACCTCATACAGGGTCACTATGGGTAGGAACCAACTCTGGTACATAACTACAACAACAAATAGGGTCACTATAAGTTGAAATCTACTTAATGGCAATGAGTTTGCTTTGTTTAAGAAACGCTTGTGGCACAGTGACCTAAGCATTGGTTAGCAGTTCAAACTCACCTGCTTCTAGGTGGGAGAAAGATGTGACAATCTACTTCTGTAAAAATTACATCTTTGGGAAACCCTATGGGATACTTACGCCCTGTTGGAATTGACTTGACATTGGGTATGGGATTATTTACCTCAAATCTTACCTCATTTGGTATGGCATTTTTAAAAGACTGATGGGAAACATTAAAGTCCCATTTTAAAAAGATGTAAAATATTAAAATAAAGAAGGCTTTTAACTTTTTAAAAAAAGTTCACCATAGATCAGTTGACTATATTAAGTGTTACGTCAGTTCCGACTCATAGCAACCCTGTATAGGGTTTCTGAGGAATGGTTGGTGGGTTAGCAGTTCAGTGCTTATTATACAGCACCGTAACAGGACTCCATTGACTATATTGTTGTTAAGTGCCGTTGAGTCATTTCTGACTCATAGCGACCCTGTATAGGGTTTCCAAAGAGTGACTGGTGAATTTGAACCCCATATTTTGTGATATACACAAGCTTTTGTACTAATTTAGAAAAATTGAAGAAAAGGGAAGACATCTAGATTAAACATGGATGATCTTTAATCCTTTCACTTGGGGCTCTAGTAATCAGGCTTTCATAATAACTATAATAATTTTAGAACTAAGAAATGGTTTACTGCCCTGATTAGCAAAACAAAGCAATGTTTGTGGGAAAATTCCATTATCTCATAATTCCATTTTTCCATGAATTTTGTTAAATCCCCTTCATATAAAACCCATAAAAACTGGAAATATTTGGGATTGAAATTTAGCAATAACAGCTTGTGCAGTTTTAGAAGAATTTTTTCATTTCTTTTGGACAAATACTTATATATTGAGAAATTGAGAACTAAAAAAGTAGGGAAGTTGCTAAAAATATATATCTTTTTAGTTGAGAAAAACTATCATTATTTGCTTTGGTAATAATTGCTTTCTTCCTAGTGTTCCCCAAATATATTTATATGATTATCCTGTTAAATTGAAGATAACTACTAACCTTTCACTGACCTTACAAAATACTATTTGATGTTTTGTTAAACTAATTATATAATCCTTTAATTTTATAATGTACAGA